CATTTGGTACATTGCCCTTCTCTTCACCCAAATCAATGTTTATTTTTTGAGCAGATCTTTTTTAAAGGAAAAAAAAAAAAAAGCATGGATCTTTAATAGCTTAAATCTGTTAATGTTCCTTAAATGTATACAAGTATACAAACATAAAACTGGTATAAACGCCTTGTGCTTATGGTACTCATATATCAAAATAAGTATAAAGTTAATACACAAACTATAACACTAATAAATTCAAATGAAGTGGCATTAATTCATTGTGACTGATATGATTTTGCTGGAACTGTTGCCCACAATGAGTATGGTACTGACTACCACAGTACAAGTTCTTTTTCATTTTAGCATACTTTTGCTGCTGGCAGATATACAAAGATCCCATTTTCCTGCACTTCTCTCTTTCAACTTCTGGGAAATTGTAATATCATTTGGCTTCATTTGGAGTTTAGGCATCTCAGACATTAAGTCCACCTGTTTTCTCATCTACCCATAATACCTGAAGCAGTACTTCATGGTGCCAATAGGATTGTACACACACAGCCTGTGGAATGCGTAGCATGCACATTTTGCTGTCATCCATAAATGCGTGTGTCAAATACCATGAGTTTATGTTAGAAATCAAGAAAAGGAATTTATTTCTTTCTATACAGCAGTTTTGCACTTTAATGCAGCTTGAATTTAAAGTAATAAAAATGTCCCAAACTTATTAAAATGAGATTCTATCTGAAATGAAATTTGGTCTGTGAATTAGAGTTGGAAAGGATGTATGTAAGGCTGTTAGAGAAGAGTTTGCGGCCTCTGAGGGTTACTAAAATTATGCTGACTGTTAACTTTTTTGTTGTTAACTTTTGTTAACTTTTGTTTTTCTACTGCTTCACAGGGGTTGGCACCAGGAATTACTACAGAAAGATTGGCTACAGATTACAAGGGCCATATATGGTGAAAATGCTAAGATAATGGCTACAACGGTCCACTTTATGCAGTATCCTCCGTGGCAGAAAGTAGAGATTCACAATTTCCTGAGGACTCAGCAGAGTGGCTGAGCAAAACAAACAGACCTACGCTGTCCCCCTTGCAGGAGTTCCACCCTCATTCTGCAGATGTGGAGTCAAGAAAATGCTTTTATGGACAGGGATGGACATCTGCTGACCAAGCCAACTAAAACCACCCACGCTCAGAGCTCCTGCACTGTCCTCTTCTGCATGTTCTCAAGAAGTCACTGTAGTTTCTGAAGCTTAAATTATTTATCCAATTTCTAAAATCTACTTGAAGCCTGCAGGTGTCTTACTTTTGATTCAGACACAATGACAGAAGTAATTAAATCAATTCGTACGGACACCATGATTCATGAAATAAAACTAGTTATTTGAGGAACAAGCTTAAGAATTTCAGATGTCTACCATTGAGTTGGTGACCATTACCAGGTCCTTTGCCATCATAGGTTACATTATATTCTGAAGAGACAAAAAGTGAGGTTGGAACATAGGAAAACTGTCAGCCTTTGATCTCTGGCTTAAAAGCCTTTGAGCAACAGTTAAGAAAATGGGCTTTTTTATTGTCTGTCCTTCCCACACTCTTGACGACTGCAAAACAATGTAGGCAGCCACAAATAAGATGTCAAGAGCAGTGTTCAGCTCTACCTTTTGTGTGTCCTGAGCAGGCCGATGTCCGTCATGCGAATGTCTGAGGCTATGTGGTGCCAAGTCAAGATTTGCTTCCACAGAAGTTGTTCCCTGCATTTTAATTCTTTAAGATGGATTTGGGTTTGTTTGTTGTATTTTGTGTGTGTGATTTGGATGAAAGTTTACAGAGCAAATTCATTTTCCATTCAATAGCTCATACACATTTTGTTTCATGATGTTGATTGCAGTCCCCACAATGTAACTGCTCTCTTCTGACTTCCTCCCTGTGGTTACCTTTTCCCTGTGTCCTTCTTTCCTATGCATTCCTGCCCTCTGAGCTAGCTCCCTGTGCAAATAATGCCCTTCTGTTTTCCCATGATTGATTTAGTCTAAGGAGTATATCTACCTAATGTAAATGTTCACCTCATAGGCTTGTCTATTGTTTGGCTGGAAGTTAAGATATGGGAGTAAGTTCAGTTCCAGGAATTTTGGTTTGTTTTAAATGGATAAAGGTAAGAGTTCAAATCATGTGAAATTTAAAAAAAAAAAAAAAAAACAGACTCAATTCTGAAAATAGGAAAAAGATTGGTTTTTTCAAAGGTTCATTTTGTAGAATGGCCTCCGTGAAACTTCAGGTAATCTACTAAGGACACTCAGCCAGCAGAGGGTGAAAAGTTAAGAATGTGGTTTAACCCTGGGCCTTTGCGTCTGTGACAGTTTACAAAGGTTTATTACATGGAACTAATTCTCCTAAAAGGATCTGAAAATAAAAGTTCAGTCTCCAACACACAAAATAGAGTAATGTGGGTTTTTTCCTCTTACTGTAAATGCAGGACATTTGCCATCAATTTACAGATTTGGGTCTCTAACCTATGGCACTGTTTATTTCCTCCTGAGTGCTGTTGCCATTTCATTAAACTGCTACAAGGTAAATGACATCAGCTTTCTCAGTGCTTGCTGTGGAACTACAAAGGCTTTCTAGACATATAGATCAGAGAATTTAGCCACTTCTCAGTCATGCTTTTTCTTCCCGGTGGAAATAAAACTATTAAATTAACAAAACATACATAGTATAGGCTGTGACAAAAGGGAGCACGTGCTTGGCTGGCGGTCAGTGCTCCAGGCTCACCTCCTGCCTACAGTGTGGCCTTGGTGGACACTAGTGTCTCTGAGCCTCCGATTTTCTAGCTGTCCCATTCAACTAAGTGGATCAAAATGTATAGTGTATCAGAAAATCCTTTTTAAAATTGTAAAAAGTCACTCACACGGAGGGCTTATTTTAAAAGATGATGATTTAGAGCAAGATTTTCAAATGAAAATACCTGGGAATTTGCAGATTTCTAATGGTTATCAGTCATTGTTTAATCCAGATCTTCACTCCAGGGTCAATAGAATGCTGTTTCTGGCTCATTCTAAACCTTGCTTGGCCTCAGGCTCTCATGGCCTCGTGCATAGCTGCAGAACCTTTAAAGCTTCACTGGTGTCAGCCCTCCTCCTGCAGCCTTTCTGCTGCTACAAGCTTCGGCTTCTCTCGTGACTGCCAAGAGCTTTGCCTGGTAGCCATGGTGTTTGATGCTTCATCTGCCTGGCCGGTCTGGTCTCCAAAAAATGTGTACATTTCAGACCACAGGGCAGTCACATAAGAAAGATCAGTGAGGCATGATTCTGCCAGTCCCAGCATGGAACCTTGAAAGCCATCACATGTGTGTTTGATCTGTATTGAGCAACTCCTTAGCAACACCTCAGGCACAAATAGCTCTGTTTTGAGTTCAACTTTTTGCTAAATCACCCGGAGAGTTAAAAAAAAAAAATTCAAGCTGTGTCGAAAACCAACTGAAATATATTTTAAATGAGTTTTAAAATACATTCTCACCACGTGTAAAGACCTAGTAAAGTACACTGTCTCAAATTAGAGAATGAATGGACCCCTTTTAAAGGAAAAAATTTCTACTGATCCAAAGGAATACTGAGAAATACAGATTAGAAGCCAAAGCCTTATTCTTTGAAAATATGTTTCAGTTGCATTGCCAACATTTTTTTTAATATTATCACCCAATTGAAAACCAAATTTTATACTGAACCCACAGACTCCTGAATTTATGAAAAAAGCTCAAGATCTGAGTTCTGAAAACCTCCATTGTACCTTCTCCAATAACTGAAGCTTTGGGCAAGTCCCCTAACATTTTTTTTAGCTTCAATTTCCCCATTGGTAGCATGAGATGAGTACCCATCAGTGTGATTGTGAAAATCAAATGTCCTATTTGAGATGTATGAACTATAACGTAGTCTGTCTACATAGTTGTTACTACTCAGATTGTTTCTGCATGGAAGTGTGGCCTTAGCCAAATAAACTGTTTCCCTCTGCAAGTTTTCTCATCTGTAAAATGGGAATGGCAATAGTATCTCCCTCGTAGTTGAGGATGCTGAGTCCCCAACTCAGCATGGCAGTGGTGCCAATGGGGTTTTAAGGTTCTTAGAACTTATAACATAGTAAACACTATAGATATAAAGACAGTTATCATTAATACCAGGAGGTCTGGTGGTGCAGGTTAAAGCGCTCAGCTGCTAACCAAAAGGTCAGCAGTTTGAACCCACCAGCAGCTATGCAGGAAAAAGATGAGACAGTCTGCTTCCGTAAAGATTACAGCCTTAGAAACACTATGGGGCAGTTCTACTTTGTCCTATAGGGTCACTGTGAGTCAGAATCAATTCAGTGGCAGTGGGTTTATTGGCGGTTATCATTAATACCCAGGAAGTACAGTATTTTCAATGAGGGAAAGAGCCCTGGAGGTGTCGTGGTTAAGAGCTCAACTGCTAAATGGAAGTTTCGTGGTGCAAACACACTAGCCGCTCCGTGGGAGAAAGATGTAAGAGTCTACTTCCATAAAGATTGTTGTTATGTGCTGTCGAGTTGGATCCGACTCATACTGACGCCTCCTTGGGTTTCCGGGGCAGTATCACTACGGAAGTAGATTGCCAAACCAGCAGTGGCTGGTGGGTTTGAATCGCCAGCTGTCTGGTTAGCAGTCAAGTGCCTTAGGCACTGCGCTCCCAGAACTCCATTAACAATTACAGCTTTGGAAACCCTGTGGGGCAGTTCTACTCTGTCCTATAAGGTCTCTGAGTCAGAATTGACTCAGTAACAAAAGGCTTTGGTATTTTTGGTTTCAGTGAGGGAGTCCCTTATATGTTGACCATGGACTCTACAATCTAAATGTTGCTAGAAGCCATTGTCAAAAGAGCAGTATCACCACTGAGGCCTTATCTTCTATTTGGTCCTCTACTGCATTCGAATAGTCTAGCATTTCAAATTGTAAAATTCACATCTCGAGGGATAAGATACTAGCTGAGACTGCAACAACAACAACAAATTTTTTATCATCACTAATTCTGGGGCTTACTGGAGAGTTGTCCAGTTTCAGTAGGCATTGCTAATCTCCCCTATGTGAAGTGCAGCTGTATCCACTTAGGAAGTCTCTCTGAGGGAGTCTGGTGGCCTTTCAGAGGGGACAAGACACATTTCTATACATTAGAGTTGTGTCCACCAGCACATTTGCATTCTGTGAAGGCTGTTGCAAAAACTAAATTTATAGACTTTTTTAAAAACTGACTTTAACATAGATAATCAATTGCATGCCTATAAAAGTAGCAAAGTGACTGTTTTTCTATATCTTAATTGCAGTTACCCAGAGGTGTGGGATCACTTCCTGAGCCATTCCCTTTGCCAGAATACTCTTCCCCACCTTGAAAATTTCTCCTCAGTCACTCACCAGAAGGAAGCTAAACGTATGTTGAGTCTTACCATAAATTGGTCTCTGCATTAAAGCCTGCATACATTATTTTACATAATCCTTGGTGCAGAATGATATCTTCCCCATTTAACAAATGAGGACACAGGAGCTGGTTGTGCAATCTCTGAGCCTAAAGTCATAGACAAGGCCATTGTGTTGCCCAGTTTCAGTCAATACTATTGTAACATGTATGTAGAAATACAGATTATCATACATGTAGAGGCTCAGAGTGGCTGCAGCCCTGATCTAAGCTATCATGTTTCAAACATGAGTCAGTGACTCAGGCTTTCTGATTCCACGCTACCCCACGTTTCCTTTTTTAGGAGGGGAATTATTTTTAGTCAGCCTCCTTTATTTTTCTTTCCATTTTTTTTTAAAATTGTGGTTTGGGTGAAAGTTTACAGAGCAAATTGGTTTTCCACTCAACAATTCATACACATCTTGTTCTGTGACATTGATTGCATTCCCCACAATGTAACAGCACTCTTCCAACTTCCTCCCTGTGGTTACCATTTCCATTGGTTCTTCTTTCCATTTGTTTCTC